GTCAAGGATTCTTTCTTCATATGCTTTAAGCCTCCCAATTATCTCATCATATGGAGTAGTCTCCAAGTTCAGTGTTTGCTCTAAAGAAGCTATAATCTGTATGTATTTTCCTCTTGGTAAACTATTAAGAAACTTCGCTACTAGCTTGTCTTCTTCAATAACTTTTCCGAGAGATGCAGATTTTGAAGCAATCTCTGATAACTTGCCCGCGAAGTTATCTATTGTGTCAGAATCTTTCATCCTAATTCTCTCGAATTCCGACATCAGGGTTTGGAGTCGAGCCACCTTTACTCTATCTGCTCCGAGATTTCTTGCTTTTACTGCATCCCATATGTCCTTCGCGGTCGGCTGTTTACCAATCTGTAATACTAATGATTCTGGAATCCCTTGAAACAACAGACCTGTAGCTATGTTGTTTTTATCAGCATCTTTGGATCCAGGATCAATCGTATCCCATACCTTGTAGATCTTCATTACTACCTCCATTCTCATAGCCCATACCGTGTAATTCGTGGCGTTGAGAAGGGGACACTGGATTGCAGGTGGTGAGAACTCCTTGATCCGTGAGTTCGTTGTCTGTTCCTCCATGATTCAATATCTTCGTTCTCTCCTTAAAAATCTTCTTGCTCTGATACCAATTAAAAGCGTAAAAGATCAAAACAGCTTTGTATAAAGACAACTCTCTTTATTAATGTTTAGAAAATAGCTCAAAACTAAACACAAAGCTCTCAATCTCAAAACGTAATCAACACCAACATGTGTGATCCTTATTTATAGAGCTTAGGTTATCCTTATCTTGGAATAAGACAACTTCCTTATTCCCTTAGGATTACTACTATTACCTATCATTATCCTAACCGACTTATTAGAATATATCTTAGGCTACAAGTAATTGTTGAAGTTTATCCAACAAGGTTCAAGCTAAGTAGGAAGAGGGAAGATGAGGAACTTAAAAGTTTTTCACTATATTATTGAATTTAAAACTGAGAGTGGAATGTAAAGTCACATCATAGTCGTGCGGCCTCAAAGCGATGGAGCTTGCTATCCAATCCACCTTACTTGGAATGCAAGTTATGAGCATGGAGCTGTAGACTACCACTCATAACCTTTTACATATATAATTTGTATGTGTCACCCTAAAAAAAACTTCTAGAAAGAGTTTTTTTTTATAAAGATAAAAACCAACTTTATGACCAAGTTGATAGGGAAAACTAATACGTAGGATTTAAAAAAAAACATAAAACAGATTTCATCTGAGAAGAAACTCTGAGTACTAAAATATTAAAACCGGAAAAAACAGAGAAAAGATAGAGGCGAGGATGATGACTGAAACATCAACTCATGCTGAACTTAGGAAGCTAAGGTATGCGTGGCTTTTCCCCTTCACGCACATCATCCGGGTGTGGTTCATTGGTAGTGGTGAAGTCAACAAAAACAGCTTCATCAGATTGGATAGGTGGATCAGCATCACCTCCTTCAACAAACCCAAGACAATCACTCGCAGCAGCGTTCTTAGAGGCTTCACCGGGCGGTAATCCCACCAGATGGCTTACTTGACACTGCTTCAGCTCGTGGCATGACTTCACCAGGTTGATTGTTACTTCCCTGGAGAAAATTAGGAAAGTAGTTAACAGGAAAGAAGTGTCTGTTCAGTACAATTGAATTAATGTATGTAAGTGTGCTTCGTTGTTTCGCAAATCTTGGTAGTGGTTGACGCTGATGCTATTCAAATATGCGGGAGATGATGAATGACAGATGCTTTGAAGTGAAATTGAGCTCAGTGAGAGTCAGTTGAAAAGTGAAGGCTATGTTCTCTAACTCAGTCAGACACTGTGGAAGTTAGCGGGTAAGGCAGTAGACTGTAAACGTTGACGGAAAGGGAAATTCGAGATAGTAAGCTCAAGAACACTATTAACATGGGTTTATGAACAGAATCTCATTGAGAAAGAAGCATAATCAACAAACAGTTTGTAAATTAATGTGAACATGAGTTTAATTTAAGAACAACTAGATTTTGATCCAATTTTTTTTGATTAAAAGTTTATATAATTAGGTTTTGTCTTTATTTAAAGTATGTTTTGGTATAAAATCAGTAATCCAAAATTTGTGGTGATGATTGCTTTGCATTAGTTTTTAGTTTCAGTTTTTATTTTTAGATTTGGTTTTAGATTTTGGTTTTTGGTTTTTAATTTTAAGTTTCTAGTTTTGATTTTCAACTTTTGGTTTGGTTTTTTTGCTTTTAGATCCGCTGAGTTAGTTTGAACTCATAATTACCAACAAACAAATTCCAAAGAATCGAACATCTAATTTAAAACTGAAAAGATGAGAATTTTTATATAAAAAAATGAAATAGTTTATTTTGTGTAAAATAAACAAAACAAAAGCAAAAATATAACATGCGTTTTTAGCTTTTGGTTTTGGATTTTAATTTTTTAGATTTGGTTTTTAGTTTTGGTTTACATTTATTTTTTTTAAATAAGTAAATTATTTAAGAAAAATAAAAAAATAAACTATTATAAAAATTACCATTGAAATTTATCAAGACAGAGTGATTGTTATTTAAAATAAAAAAAATATTAACATGTTTTAAAGTACATGATTTAAATAAGTGATTAATAATATATAATTTTGCTTTGTTAAAATATTAAATAGTTTTGGGCCTTAAAATAGTAATTGATTTTTTGATCCATTAAGGTAGAACATTTATTCAATGTTTTCTGGAGTTTTTCTTTAATACTAAGCCCAAAACTCAAACTATAAATTTGTCATAAAAACAAAAGTAAGCCCAAAATTCTATTCCATAAATAACCACCGGTTTAATTTAAGTAATGCAGTTCATTCAACTATATGACTTGAATTATTTGTAACACTCTAGAAAGAGTCTAAATTTAAATGACAACTTATATTAGTAGATAAAAAGAATGATTCTAGAGTAATAACAAACTCTAGATTTTCACCCGCGCTTGAAAAGCGCGGAAATTTTTTATGATTAAAAATTTATATAATTGGGTTTTGTCTTAATTTAAAGAATGTTTTGGTATAAAATTAGTTTACCAAAATTTGTGGTGATAGTTTTTTTTCATTAGTTTTTAGTTTCAGTTTTTATTTTTAGATTTTGTATTAAATTTTGGTTTTTGGTTTTTAGTTTTTAAGTTTCTATTTTTGATTTTCAGCTTTTGGTTTGAGTTTTTAATTTTTAGACCGCTGAATTAGTTTGAACTGATATTACCAACAAACAAATCTCAATTAATCGAACATGTAATTTAAAACTGAAAACATGACAAAATAGTTTTCTAAAAAATTTGAAATAGTTTATTTTGTAAATAAAAAAAGCAAAAAATATAATCTGCGTTTTCAGCTTTTGGTTTTGGATTTTAGTTTTTAGATGGTTTTTGGTTTTGCTTTATTTTTTTAAAAAAAAAAATCTGTAAATTATTTAAGAAAAATAAATAATAAATTATTTAAAAGTTACCATTAAAATTTATCAAGATAGAGTGATTGTTATTTAAAATAAAAAATATTAACATGTTTTAAAGTACATGATTTAAAAAGTGATTAATAATAGATAATTTTGTTTTGTTAAAAATATTAAATATTTTTGGACCTAAAAATAGTAAATGATTTTCGATCCATTAAGATGGAAAGTTTATTTAATGTTTTTTGGAGTTTTTCTTTAATACTAAGCCCAAAAACCAAACAATTAAATGTCATAAAAACAAAAGTAAGCCCAAAACTCTATTCCATAAATAACCGCCGGTTTAATTTAAGTAATGCGGTTCAATCAACTATATAACTTGTATTATTTGTAACACTCTAGAAAATGTCCAAATTTAAATGACAACTTGTATCAGTAGATAAAAAAAATGACTCTATTTTAATAGAATAGATATGAACATGATTTTCAAAAAAAAAAAGAATCATCTTAATTAAGATGAAAGTTGTAGAACACATAACGAAGATATAAATTCAAAACCTTGATAGAGATTACATGCTGGAATAGTACAACCTAAATATGAACATGAATTGAAGAACATGATGAACTTGAGTTCTTTTAAAAATACCTTTGAATCCAGTAAGAGCATATCCACGCCCATCATCTCCCCACTGCTTTCTAACGTTTCTGGTCTACCAGAACCGGAGCAACCGCAGTTGAGACTTCAGATCGGCAAAGAGAACCGATGAATTAGTCATTTCAGAGAAAACAGATTCTTAAAAGTTTCTAAGAGTTCAGATGATGATGCTCTAAGATAAGTAAGGCTTAACTTTTATAAAATTAGAGACACCTCCTTAGACATGAATCAGATCGTGCTCGAAGAGGAACGATAAAGTTAAGGAACATGATAAAGAGGATGAATCAATTAGAAAAAACGTTTTGTTTATATAAAGAGAAGAAAAAACCCCAGATCAAAGATTCATGGAGCCATGATTAATATGGACTGAAGACAACGAAACACCAACAAAACATCAGAGATCGAAGAATAAACTATTCGCTTCATCATGGAAGAAGACAACGAAACCCTAAAGATTCTATCGCACATAACATCCCCTTGCTGTTGCTATTCCCTCTGTCGCTACATTCTCAGGAGAATGGCAAGGGTCACCGTCGAGGGGAGTCGACTCTCTGGAAATCACAATCCAGAAGAACCATAGGAATCTAGGTCCAATCCAGATTTAGTCCTACGTGGACGAACCTATGTGGCATCCTATGTGGCACTCTAAAAGAGGAGAGAAACACTCCTTTATATAATAGATTTTTGAGAATTTGCACTCCCTACACACAACTAATACCTTATTTGCATTCCCTATCCTATTTCCCCCAGTTTTTGCTCTCCCCATCATCAATATTTCTTCCCAAACTTAAAGTATTCAACACCTTTTAATATTTTGAGCAAATTGACTCTAGATTTTTATCCTTCAAATTTTAATATGCAAAATACTATTCTACCCCTCAATTCATTTGCCAAAAATCTATTTTTCTCCAAAATCAGAATCTTGGTCTGATGATATCACCGGCGAACTCGGCCATCTCCCACAACTCCGGCGAACTCGGCCATCTCTGGCGAAATCGGTTTTCAAATCCGACGAGACCAAACGATTTCTCCATGAACGTGATGAGCTCTCCGAACAATCCAGACCTCGTCTATCTCGACCAGTATTACCGCGTCGAGCTCCCTCGTCTTCTTCACGAGAGAGACCCTAACCCTTACCTCACCACCTCCGAGCTTTCTCAGCTCATGAAATGGAAGCTCTCTCGCGGCAAATGGAGGTACTCTCTCTCACTAAACCCTTCTAAGATTCTTGCGTGATTTCTTCAGTTTTGTTTACTTTTGTTCCCTTTGTTCCAAGGCCGCGTCTGCTCGACTTCGTGTCGTTTCTGCAAGATTCAGTGGTGAAATCTGCTTCTGAAAAGGCGTTCAAATCTCTCCTTAACATCTCCAACGCTGTTAAAGAGCTCACTATTCTTAAAGGTGTGGGTCCTGCCACCGCTTCAGCAGTTTTGGCTGCTTACGCGCCCGACATTGCTCTGTTTATGTCCGACGAGGTACGTTTCTTCTTATACGTTAGTAAAGGAACAATTTGTATTCACATCCTTTTTTCTCTTTGTTTTGAATTGCCGAGTGTTCACAGAGTGCAGTTATGAACTGAGGTTAGACCGTCTCTGCGATCAATTGAAGAGTTGATGAGTATCCGTGTCAAAATAAGGTGGATTTATCAAAAGGCGAGAAAGAGGATGAGAAGGTGAAATCTTCACCTGGGTTTAATGATGCCAAATCTTCCAAGGGAGCTTCTGATAATGATTCTGAAGATGAGTTCTATGATGTTGAGAGGTCGGATTCTCAGGATGGTTTGTCTTCCGATGGTACTAGTGTCTCTGGCATACCTGTTACTGGTATTGTATCTTCTTTCTCAGTGTCTACTTGTCCCTGGAAGGAAGAACTTGAAGTGCTTATCCGAGGTGGTGTACCCATGGCTCTGAGGGTGGGAGGTAATAAATCTTGTCATATCTACATGGCTGCCTTCTAATTCTATTTTTTTTTCATGCTCTGTCTCCATCTGTAGTTCGTTGGCCTAAGCTCTTGTTCAATCGTGAACTTTACATATTTTCAGCTGTGGCAAGCATTTGTGGGTGTGAAGAAACGACGTAGAAAAGATTATTACAAAAAACTTCTTGCTGAAGATAGTTCTGGGAACAGCATAGCTCAGGAGGATACGCAGCATGTTGATGAGAAAGGTTCAAATACAGAGTCCCTTGCTGTTGTGGAAAAATGGAAAGGACAGATAGAAAAGGTAGTACCGTATAATTTTCCGAGAGTTGACTCCCTCTACCTACTTGTGCAGTCTTAGCTTTGAAGTTGATTATATTTCTTACGCCATTGCTTATATCAACTATTGGACTTGCCTCGGACGTTTCCAGGCCATCCCGCACTAGATGATGATGATAGAAATGCTCTGCGGCGTTTGCTTACTGCTTATGCTAGGCATAATCCTTCTGTTGGATACTGCCAGGTATTGGTTCTTAAGCAATATCATGATTCCTTACTTTAGTATCGGAAATGGTATATTACGATTAATATCTAGTTCATATCCTGCAGGCTATGAATTTCTTTGCTGCGCTTTTATTGCTGTTGATGCCCGAAGAGAATGCCTTTTGGTATGTTCACAAAGTTGATTATTCTATCATCTTTAACTCCTAATATTATTTTTCTGTGAATATTGAACTTCTTGGCTCTGTGTATAGGTTGTGTATCTATCACTTTCACTTCTTTCGGTTGACTACTCTTCAGCGCTTCCAAAGGATTGTGAGAGTGCGGATAGTGAAGGGTTACAATACCAGCAAACGTGTGAGCCGGGTGGCGCAGCGTACGATAGGGTGAACGGTCGATCTAAGAACTTAGGGTTCTTCGAGACCTGTTCTTGGATCGATCAAGAGTTTCTTTCGATAGCTTCTTGAGACCAACTTCCTGTTTTGATGAATTGAATCGAATCTAAACAAGGTTTAAAGCAAAAGCTATTTTATTAAAATCAAATGTATCCAACAATCAGCTTTAAGACTAGCTTATATAGGTATTCCATAGACACAAACTGTCTTTGGAAAAGGAATATAACTAACGAATTTCCTAATTAGAGAAAACAAAAGAAAAAGGTAAACTTAATAGAAAAAGGAACAAAACGTGAACGTCACGTAATCATGTAGAGCCAAAAGGGAAGATGCTCCTGCATCAGGTCCCCCAACGTTAGAAGGATTCGACCTCGAATCGACATCCGTATCTGGAGAGAGAAATGGAGACAGATATTTAACATTGAACACGTCAGAACTGTTAATGTTGGCAGGAAGTTCCACTCGATAGGCATTATCATTGATACATTCCACTATCTTGACGGGACCAATCTTCTTAGCACGTAGTTTGTTGTAGCGGTGTGCAGGAATTCTGTCACGAGTTAAGACCACCCATACCAGGTCACTGGGGTTAAAGACCAGACGACGACGATGAATATCTGCAGCAGCTTTATATCTTTCGGTGGAAGCAGAAAGGTTGGTCACTGTTTTGGTATGAATGTCTGTAATTGTATCGACAAAAGTTGCAGCATCGCCATGGATCATTATTCTGTCCGGTAAGAGAGACAAATCAACAGGAGCACGAGGCACAATACCGTAATTCACCTGAAAAGGAAAAAAACCCGTGCTATGGTTAAGGGCATGGTTATGAGCGAATTCGGCATGAGGAAGACGTTGATCCCATGTCCCAATAGCATCGCCTACTAAACACCGCAGTAGATTACCAAGAGACCGATTAACAACTTCCGTTTGGCCATCTGTCTGAGGAAGATAAGCGGAACTCGTATCAAGGCATGTATCGAGATTTTTCCACAAAGATCTCCAAAAATGACTGAGAAACCGGGAATCTCTATCGGAGACTATCGATGACGGTAATCCGTGAAGACGATAAACCTCGCGGAAAAACAAAATAGCCACTTGAACTGCATCTGTCGACTTTTTACATGGTATAAAATGGACCATATTGGAAAAACGATCAACGACCACAAAAATTGAATCAAAACCCCGTTGTGTGCGAGGCAAACCTAACACGAAGCCCATACTTATATCTGTCCAAGGTTGCGTCGAAATCGGTAATGGCAAGTACAATCCTGCATTAGAAGCCGTGCCCTTGGCCTTTTGACATGTGACGCATCGTTAACCGAAACGAGAGACGTCCTTGCGAAGAGATGGCCAAAAATAGGACATAGCCACCAACTCTAGAGTTTGATCACACCCCACATGTCCTTCACAATGTAACTCGGTGATCAATTGTAAGCGAAGACTTCCCTCGGGTATACTTGAAAAAGGAAGCCTTCATGGATCGTATACTTGATAATAGGACTTTTCAAGGGTCCTAATCAAATGATGTAGTATAAGAGATGTCGAACCAGTTCTAAGTGATCCTAAATCAAAGGGAATGCAAGACAATGCTCAATCTAAGTGCAACCAATAAGTGAGATGATATTGAACTAGAATACTACTAAAATGCAATAAAGGGATGATCTTTCTTTCTCAAAATGAAACAAGAGGACTAATGGGACTAAAAATTTGTTCTTGGGTGATGTAGATCCAATCTAAAGATGGCAAGCTAGCAATCATACACTTTCCTTATGCCTAGAAACAATCCTAAACAAGCTTTATCTCTAGATGAATGTTCTTTTACTAAAGCAACTCAAGCATCTAATCTCTTAGGTTAAATATTACTAAAGCAAACATGGAGAACAAGTCTAATGGCAATCTTAACTTCTTTAGCAACTAATCTCTTAGGTAAAGCAAGTTAAAAGCATTGAAGAGTTGGCTCAGGCATTTCATCATACACCTTGTGGGCAGGAAATGCCTAAAGATCCATTTTAGTATGATCAAGACTAAAATGGCATTGAGAACCCTCAACAAGCAAGGAAACAATTAAATCTAACACTAAACATCATAGATCTTCTCTAATCACCCTTAATCACTCTAGCCCATGAATCCAAAAGGAGTCTACTCACTAATCTTCATGATTAACCTTGAACCCATGGTTGATTTAAGAGAAATCATGTTGAGAAGCAAGTTTAATCAAACAATCACAAAGAAATAAGAGGAAAAGAAACTAAAGATTCAATCCTTCTTCAAGGTTTCAATGTGTTCTTAGAGAGAAAAGAAGATAATCCTAAAGATTAGGTCTAGATTGTATTTATAGTAGCTTAAAACATAAACCGGGTCAACCCGACAAACCCGGGTGTGACCCAAATAACTAATGGAAACTTGATGTCGTGCAGGACGCGGACTGGCCTTTACCCGCGGGACGTGGCCGCGCGCGAAAGTTGAAGGTCACATTGGAAAACGCGGCTTGGTTCTGGCCGCGTGTGCAGGCCGCGTGAAGTGGCTCGTGGTGAGGCGCGGCCAGCTTCTTTCCCGCGTGACATGTCCGCGTATGGAGGGTTGAAAAAATGAGCTTCTCGGGACGGAATACGCGGCCTGGTACATGGCCGCGTTACATGGCCGCGTGGACGAGGCGCGGGCTGGCTCTCCCCCGCGTGACTGGCCCGCGTGTGGAGGTCGAGATTGCTGGCTCTCGGGACGAAATGTGCGGCTGGTCTTCGCCCGCGTTTCCTGGCCGCATGGAGTGGCTCGAACACTTGGTGAGTTTTATCTTTTTTTCTTGACTAAACCCTCTAATCTCCAACCTAAGCTTCTCCATACCTGAAATACCACACATGCATATGGTATGCACCTAAAGGGACTCTAAATGCAGCTAAAGTGATTTAAATGAACATAAAAAGGATGATTAAAACTATGATATAAGCAAGATATCAATACTCCGATGATAAACCCGTTCGTGCTTCATGAAACACGCGGCTAAAAAAAGGATCAGTCTCGTAGTGGTCCACTAAAGAGGAAAAGCCAGTGACTGATGTATGGAGTACTGTAAGAAGGAGATGACGCCTACTCAATGCGTCTGCAACTCTGTTAGATGAGCCTGCGGTATGCTTGATGACGAAAGTGAATTGCTGGAGATACGCAATCCAGGAGGCATGACGAAAAGAAACCTTTTGCTGACTATGTAAATGTTTCAAGGCATCATGATCGGTGTAAAGAACAAACTCCTTATGAAAAAGATAATGCCGCCAATGCTTTATTGCTTGAACCACTGCATAAAACTCAATGTCATATGTACTGTAGCGAGCGCGGGCTCCCGCCAATTTCTCGCTAAAGAAAGCGATTGGACGAGAATGTTGACTTAGAACTGCGCCAATGCCAGTCTTAGATGCATCAGAATGAAGTTCAAAGACTGTATTGAAGTCTGGTAATGCGAGTATAGGTGCAGAACTCAGCTTATCTTTGATACTAGCAAATGCCGCAGATGCCTCCGGAGTCCAAGAAAACGAACTTGTACGAATACAGTCTGTGATGGGTGCCATTAGACTACTAAACTGGGGAACAAAACGACGATAAAATGATGCCAGTCCGTGAAAACTGCGAACCTCTGAGATGGTAGTGGGTTGAGGCCATGTTTGAATCGCCGATACTTTAGATGGATCGACCGCAAGACCGCGAGAGGACACAATATAGCCGAGAAAATGTATTTGAGGAGACCCAAACTCACACTTTTTGAGTGTAGCATAGAGCTGGTCGCGCCGTAGGATCAAAAGGACGTCACGTAAGTTCTGGATGTGCTCGTCAGGTGACTTACTGAAGATTAAAATATCGTCAAAATAAACCACCACTAACTTACCGATAAAAGGTCTAAGTGCTTGGTTCATGACACGCATGAACGTACTAGGCGCGTTAGACAAACCAAATGGCATAACCAGCCATTCAAAGAGAACTTCTCTCGTTTTAAATGATTTTTTCCATTCATCCCTTGGACGGATACGGATTTGATGATATCCGCTTTTGAGATCCAATTTAGAAAATACCGTCGCCATATCGATCTGATCCAAAAGGTCATCAAGACGCGGGATGGGAAAACGATACCTCACAGTGATCTTATTGATAGCGCGACTATCGACACACATACGCCAAGATCCATCTTTATTTGGGATTAACAAAGCGGGAACAGCACATGGACTAAGGCTCTCGCGCAGAAACCCTTTAGTCACTAGCTCTTCAACTTGTCGCCTTAATTCTTCATGCTCAGATGGACTCATTCTGTAATGAGAACGATTTGGTAACGTAGCATCTGGAATGAAGTCGATGCGATGTTGTATATCACGAAGTGGAGGGAGTTGTGACGGAAGATCCGAAGGGAACACGTCTGCAAATTCTGTTATTAAAGGCTTGTACACGGTTGGAATGTCATGAGTAGACAAAGGAGAAGATGGTAATGTAAGTAACAGAACTATCTGCTCCGCACTACGCATTGCAGTCGAGAAAGCCGAGGGTTAAAGGAGCACTGGATTAGGTGTGACTTCGGTGGTGATGGTGTCATCGGAGATAACTTTAGACATTGGCTTGAGGGTGAAGGTTTGGTCGTTGAATCTGAATGTATATGTGTTAAGAAAGCCATCGTGTATGACACGACCATCAAATTCCCAAGGCCGTCCAAGGAGAAGGTGGCATGCATCCATTGGCACGAGATCACAATAAATTTGATCTCTATACGTATTACCCACCGAGAACTGAACCAAAGTACGCTTAGTGACTGTTAACTCGTTACCTTGATGTAGCCACCCAAGTTTATAAGGCGCAAGGAGCGTTTCAGTGACAAGGTTGAGCTTCGGAACTGCAGATTCTGCAATGACGTTCTCACTACTGCCCGAATCAATGATAAATTTGCACACCTTTCCATTAATGTTGCAACGGGAAGAGAATAGATTCTTGCGTTGAGAGAATTCTTCGGTCACCTTTGGTGTTAAACATGTCATGCGCACCATTAGTAAACAACCTTCATCTGCTTCTAATTCTTCTGTTGTCTCATCTCTATTATCATCATAAATAACCTCTACATCTCGGCCAGTTGTATCCAACAGAAATCCCCGTTTATTGCGAGATGGACATGCCGACTGTCGATGGCCCAGTTCTCCACACGAGAAACAACGCAGACCTCCCGGTCGGGTTTGACGTTGTGGATCTGACGGAACGATAGTTGTTTCTGTTTTTGTTGAGGCGCTGTCCATTGTAACAGGTGATGCAGTCGACGTTGATGTGCGATTTTGGCGATTGGAACCCCAAGCCTGGAAACCAATACGATTTTGTGCTTCGACTGTTAAGGCCTGTTGATGAGCTTCAGAAATTGATTGAGGAAGAAATAAAATTAATGTGACTTGAATTTGCTGTCTGAGACCGCCAATGAACCTTAAAACGAGTTGTTGTTTAGAGTCCCGTGTTTCAACGCGATTGATCATCTTAAAAAATTCTGTAGCGTAGTCTTCTACGGACCGTGTTCCTTGGCGCAAGTTCTGAAACTTCTGAAACATTAACTGATCATAGTTGTATGGCAAAAAAATTTTGCGCATCTCTCGCTTCAACTTGTCCCATGTAGTAATTTTGCATTTGCCGAGCCGCGCTCTTGTTGTTTTGTTTTGTGTCCACCAAGCATCTGCTCGGTCACGGAAACAAATTGCAATAAGAGGCACACATCGATCCAGCGGGACTTGTTTGAATTCCAAAATTTCTTCGATAGTAACAAACCAATCAAGTAGTTCCTCAGCTGTTGTGGAACCATGAAATTGGGGAATCTAGAGTTTAAAACTCGATTTCCATGACTTAGTGTTGGCGTTGTCTTCTTCATTAGAATCAGAACAGTTGTCGATGTTGTCATGGTGTCGTGGAGGTTGACGTCGTAGTGGTGCAAATGAGTTGTCGTCCTCATCACAATCGTTGAGAAGCTAGAGCTGATCAGTTCGAAGATGGCGAGGTGAAGTGCGGTGATGACGAGGTGAGTCATATCGGCGGTGACGGCGAGGTGAAGTGTTGCGGTTGTGACGAGGCGAGTTGACGTTATGTTGTTGTTGTTGTTGTTGTTGTTGGGTTGTCAAAGCTGTGACGGCGGTGACAAGATTATGAACGAGTGCTTGAAGGTTGGTTACGGATTGTTGTGTTGCAGGGTTCTCGTCTTCAGCTGGTGTCTGAGAACGAGTTTTTCGAACCATCGTAGCGGTTGAGAAAGTTTCGGAGCGTAGCAAAGCTCTGATACCAACCTGGCACAGCGTACAATAGGGTGAACGGTCGATCTAAGAACTTAGGGTTCTTCGAGACATGTTCTTGGATCGATCAAGAGTTTCTTTCGATAGCTTCTTAAGACCAACTTTCTGTTTTGATGAACTGAATCGAATCTAAACAAGGTTTAAAGCAAAAGCTCTTTTATTAAAATCAAACGTATCCAACAATAAGCTTTAAGACTAGCTTATATAGGTATTCCATAGACACAAACCGTCTTTGGAAAAGGATTATAACTAACGAATTTCCTACTTAGAGAAAACAAAAGAAAAAAGGTAAACTTAATAGAAAAAGGAACAAAACGTGAAGGTCACGTAATCATGTAGGTGCCAAAAGGGAAGATGCTCCTGCATCACCGGGTTTAGAGGTTGGCACGTGTGAGACAGTGGCTAATCATAACCATGAACAAGGTTTAGGTGAATGGTCAATGATGGACAGGCTTTTGAAGATGGTAACCAACTTTCGTGGGGTTATTCTTTTTTTTTTTCTTTTTCTTTTTGGTCAATCGTGGGGTTATTCTATATAGATCTTTATGTCTTATTAATTATGACTATGTAAGTGTTAGTGTGTGTATGTTGTTGATTACATATGTTTTATTTATTTCATATTATGGTTGGACGCAAATTGCTTCATAAATCCCAAATATATAATTGTTTTTGTTTTTTCACAAATGTCAACAGAAACTCTCACCAAACCAAAGTTTACAAAGCATTTTCAAAGATCATTTAGACTAGAAAGAACTTAGAGGGTGGGAGCTCTCTCGGCAGTTCCAGCGATGACGGTAAGCAAATTGTTGCCAAAAGGATCACTTAGATGCTTTGAAAGGTTCTCAACAGGGCCTTCTCCTGTAACATAAGCTTGGATGAAGAAAGCGAACATGGAAAACATGGCTAGTCTCCCGTTCTTGATCTCTTTAACCTTGAGAAGAGCTCCTTGTTCAGGGTCTTTAGCAAGTCCCAAAGGATCAAATGGACCTCCTGGGTGAAGCTTGTCTTCAAAGTCCTGCTCAAGCGTTTTTGCATTTCAAAATCTCATTCTTTTCACACATGCATGCGGAAAGGTCAAAATATATAATAGCAGAAATGTACGTACCAATCCATTGGTGATTCGGTAGTACTCAGCACCACCAAGGAGAACAACCTCAGCAACTACAGCGAGAACAAGGTTGATTGGGATGTTCTTGCCAAAGTAGCTCAATGTGTTTCCGTCAAGAAGAAGAGCACCAGTCTGCATCCATATAAGATCCCATCACATATTCTTCCTTGGCAATATAGAAATGTTAAGTAAAACTGAAGTAGCCAAAAGAAACCTTAAACCAGACGGCTTCAGGGCCACAGTTAGCCCCATATTTGTTTAAGGCTTCAGGGATGATGCAACCAGCTGCTCCCAACATAGCCCATCTCGCGTGGATCAGTTCAAAGGCTTGGTATCTGAACAACCACATTCACTACAACACCAGTTTTAGTGACATTGCTCAAAACAAAGAGACAGGGTTAGAGCAGAGAATAATAATAGGCTTACTTAGCAAAGTCCTCAGGCTTCTTTCCAAGTCCAAAAGGGTCATAACCATAACTGCAATTCAGATAAAAGCCTTAGGGTCGAAGCCAAAGTAAGCATACAAAAGGAGACAAGAAGAAGTGTCTTACTCTCCCGCAACTTCACCGTTTAAGTACTCTGGGATCTCTGATCTGTCCAAAAGACCATCAGGCAAGAAGATTCTCCTGTCAGGACCTGAAACAAGAGTCATCATAATCAGAGTGACATAACGGTAGAGAATGAAAGATACACACAGAAAGGGAAGCAGAAGCCACATACCATACCACTTGGCGAGCTCGTCGTTGGCAGCAGAGACGGTCTTGGCCTTGGGAGGAGGAGCTGGCTTCTTCTTGGAGAACAACGCAACTGTCTTGAACGTGGCGGGGTTCGATGCCAATGGAGCAGACGATCTTGACACAGCCCTGAAGTTAAGGGGCGTACCAAGCATTTCCGACACACCCAAAGATGCCATCTTAGCTCAAAATTTTCAAGTTTTTAGTCTGTTTCAAGCCAAGGAAATGCTAAAGTTAACTGAAAGGAAGGAAGATACAAAACTCGTACTATAAGGTGGAGAGTAGGATTCCTTCCGGATTTTGATTGGTTCAAATTGAAAATGTGAAATATGATTCTCTTCTCTGATTGGCTGTCGTTGCTGATGTGGCTGATAGATTGGTTGCTCTTGGATAATCTATTTATCTATCCATATCCTCTGTCTCTCCTTTGTGTGGTTAAGCTTTACTTTGTGTTTGCAAAAAAAAGGTTAAGCTTTACTTCAGACTGTATACAAAGAATCTCAAACTTTGAATGTCATCCACAAATCTTTCAGTGTTAGTAGTGTTTTCAGTAAATTCCTCTGGACACAAAACCTTTGTGGCACGCTAGTCACTGTAATGTAGACGGCTAAAAGCTTATCTAACCCCACTAATTACTGCAAAATGGAATAGGGTTAGAAATGCTTAATAGAGTGAAATCGTATTCAGAACGCAAAAAAAAAAAAAAATTAGGACAAACACAACCGTGAGATTTCAACATGGGAACAACAACGATGGCCTGCCCTACAATATGGTTTATTCAATTGGGTTTCGAGAGTTAAGCCGAGCAATTAAACAATTCGTAGCACCAAGACTTGGAACTCAAACTATAAATCACCGGATTGAAGGTAAACTACTAAGGGAATCCCATTTTTACACCATAAGTAGATTGTACAATCACATTCAGTATACAAGAACAATGCAACACTAACATTAACTTGAAAGGAGCTGCTGATAAGTTTGGCTAAGCTAATAAGGCTAAGTTCTTCTCCACTTGTCGATTTCTTTGGAAGTAGCTTTCACAAGTTTCTTGGTGTGGACAACGAGTTCATCAATAAGAGAATCAACTTCATCTCTGTCAAGTATAGCCAAAAAAACAAAAACCAATCTTCAGTAACTTCTACTGCTAACATACACAACAAGTACATCGCTTGCTGTCGTAATTGACTTACAGAGATGGCTTGCCGACGTTGTAATAAGAGCGAGCGTGATCATAAGCGGCGCCTCTTCCGACGCCATACCCAAACCCTACACCGATTCCACAACCAGCTCCAAACCCTAGACCAAACTGTAGGCCAGGAACACCTGGTCCGAATCCTACACCTGTTTCATTAAAATCTCTTCTCAGACAAACTATCTTATTCTTAAGACAGATTCGCGAGTATCCTGCGATCAAATTACCTCCGATAAGACCGGCGCCGAAACCGAATCCGCAACCGAAACCGAGTCCGAAGGCGGGACCAACTTTGCCGACGTCTTTGATCCTAACCTGAGGAAGTTTCCAGAGCAATCCCTTGTCATCGTCTCCGTTGCTCCTCCTTCTGTTGCTCATCCTCTCTCTATTTTGTCTGCTCTCTTCGTGGATTTTGCTAGTACGTACTTGAAATGAGACTAACTTAACAAGGCCCATTTTACTACTTAGGCCCAACTGTAGAAATATGTTTTTGTATAGAAAAATTATCTAACTAATCTAATGTTTTGATGAAAATTTTTCAGTAAACTTAGCTAAGTTTCCCAACTCAGACCTGCAGGATCGATAAACCCAATAACCCGTTAAGTAATCCATCTCTTGTAAATATCTGTTAATTAAAAATCTGATAAAAAAATTTAATCATAAATGAAATTAAGGAGTAATTTTTATTTAGTTTAAAAAAGAAACTAATTATTTTATTAAATATGTTTTGTATTTCAAATAAAATATTATATTTTAATTTTTAGTTTTCTCGTGAACTTATCATTTTCTTTTTTTTGCTAAATTTTAAATGTCATTAATCAAAATGAAGGTTCGGTTACAAATTGAATCGCAACCAGATTCTGCTCTAGGGCCATCCTGAATTTTAAGGGCCGCAAAAAGTTTTAAAAAACTCACAAGACACAAAGAGATTAATTTAAAGCTTGCCAACAATGGTGAACTTTGAAATTAATAAACATGCTAGGACAAGAGACATCAAATTAAACTCCCCACCTAAACGCTTCTTGACACTAGAGAACTAGACCATCAAGAGAATAACTAGAGGCAAGTTCAGTCTAGCACTCACCGAAATGGCTTAAGCAAGCATCGATAGGGCGGATGGCTCCCGCTCCGGAGCTCCACTAGAGGAGGAAGAAGCTGACAAACGAGCCCAAGCTACCTCAGCAGACGACGAAAACTGTAGACATGAGACAACACCGCTGGAACTGAAAGCATAAGTTACAGTCAAGCACAGCCGGTAAATGCAGCTTCCCATCCGGCAACACGACACAAAAGATGCGGCGGAGACATCAAGTAAACAAAGAAGTTATCTGCCGGAGTTTGGGAGAAAGGAAACGAAGTACTGAAGGAGAAGTGAAACTCCTTGAAAAACAAGCGACCAAAACCGAGAAGAGCTTGCTCCTCCTTGAGAGCAAGTGATGCCATCGCCGGGGTTGTCCTCAAAACCATAGGAGTCGGCATCAAGAGCAGCAAGGAGAGCCAATCGGACTCTAAAAGGCACGCTATGGTTGACGTCTCATGACCTAAGAAACAAAGGTCCTCTGAGCGCTGAGTCTTAGCACCGCTGTTACTCCAAAGCGGAGAGGAGAAGCTCTGACAAGACCTTGAGAAACGAGTCATGCTAGATGCACGGGTAGAAGCCGGTGTCGAGAACAGAGGCGGAGGCAGCGACGCTTCACCATCTTTTCCGGCGGAGACAATATCAGATCTGACTCAGATCTGCTCTGATTGAAAGCAGAGACCATTAATCGAAGGCTCCATAAGCTCCACGAGAACCCCTCTCCTCGCCGATGCTCCATAGAGGCCGCACACTCATGTGACACTTGGTTAGATCCACCAAGATTCCGGTGAAAATCCAGCAACACCACGCAAGGAGGAGAAGGATAAGACATGGAGGCTAAGGGAGAAGGCTCAGACACATGACGGACTGGGGTGGCGACCGGAACAGTAAAGCTACCAGTCACCAGGGGAAGAAGATGCGACGGCTGATTTTAGAATTTTTTAGTCTGAGGGGAGAGACTCTAGAGAGAAAAGGTTTCTCTCTCTCTCTTGTTAATTCTGTAAGGCGAACTTATCATTTTCCTTTATGCCGCATATACCCTATCTCTATTTAAATTTTCTTTTTAAACTTTTTCTTATTTTTCTGTTAATAGCATTTATTCTATCTTTCTAGGTTTTAAATTTCATATATACTATGTTTTTATTCTTTATTGTGAATTACATGATTTTTTTTTTACATTCTTGTAAATAATATTTTTTTTTATCGTGAATCAAACTTATTAATCTTATTCAATTTAGCAAAATCACATATAATTAGTGGTGTGTTATTTTTGTTTGGCCTATGATTGTGGTGATGTTGTCTATTTGTGTACGTCGTTGTTTTTTATAAGTATTGTGTACGTCTTTGTTGGTGGTGTTTGTTTCTTGTTGTGTCTGTAATGCTTGTTGCGTCTTCATCTTTTTGTTTCTTGTTCACCATTACAAATGCAAAAAGTTCAGGTGTATAAAGTAGGAGCAAGCTTGAATAGCGATGACTCTTTCATTTGATCCGCCTGTTTTTGAGACATTTTGTAAGTGTCCTGTGTTTTTCTACAGCAGTATAGGGACGATGATTCTTTACTATGCTCCCCTGTTTTTGATGACTCTGAAATTACTTTATTTTCTAATGGTATTAAATTCTTAGATTATGTACATTGGTCTAACAATTCAACACCATATCCTAACAATTCAATACTAACTTATTTTATATTTTACAATAGTTTTGTTTAATAAATTTCAACATCATATCCCAATTTTTTATATTAATAAAAAATTTAATTAGTTTAAACATAAAGAATAAAATAATTTTTAATTTTAATTACATTTTACAAACAACAAAAATAGAAAATATTAATAGTCATTAAATATTTTCTTTATTTATAGAGTATAAAAATTACAATAACAAAACTTTGTAGAAGAAATAGAAATTTTTTTTTATCCAAACTAAATAAACTAAGTCTCTATTTATAAAATAGGGAGAAACATGAATTCTGATATAAAAATATATTAATTTAAATAATAAACTAATTTAGTTGTAAAGATTTGGTGTTGAATAATTAATTAATCAGGACTGGATAAATTAATTTAGTTGTGAGTTAATTTAGTCGTCCACTCAAACAGGTTCGTCTCTGAATCTTCCTGGTTGCGCTATTTGGATTGTGCTCGTGGCTCCTATAGCGGGTTTGTGTGGGTTGGAGTAATGATAAGGAGTAGTGTCTTTGGCCATCCTCAATAAGTTTAAATGTAGTGTTGGCTTGCCTTTATAGAGGAAGTAAGCTGAATTGATTCATTAGGTAAACGTAATTACAATACTTATAGTAATTAGGATAGCTAAGCTAGGTATTACACATTGACTAATCTACCCTTATATACATATCATCTACACACCCCCTCAAGATGGAGGAAGTTTTGTTACTGCAATCTTGTGCATCAGTTCATTAAAGCGTGATCTCGATAGAGGTTTGGTGAGTGCATCAGCAAGCTGGTCCTTGGTAGAGACGTGTGATACACGTAGTGCTCCAGATTGAACATTATCTCGAACAAAATGAAAATCCAAGGCAAGATGTTTCATCTTAGAGTGGAATACCGGATTAGCACTAAGGTATGTGGCACCAACATTGTCGCAGAAGATCGTAGGGGTTGTGGTGACAGCTATACCGAGTTCAGTAAGTAGGGAACAGATCCAACGAAGCTATGCTGCTGTGTTCGCCACTGAACGGTACTCAGCTTCAGTAGAAGAGCGAGAGACACATGTTTGTTTGCGAGAAGACCAAGCAATCGGCCTCGATCCCATATAAACAACATAAGCATTGGTGGATACAAAATCGTCGGTATCACCTGCCCAATCTGCATCGGAGAAAGCATGCAAAGTATGTGGAGAGTACTTGTTGATGTAGATACCATGGGTGAGAGTACCCGAGAGATAGCGCAATATGCGTTTAGCAGCCTTCCAATGTTCGTTGGTTGGTTGGTGCATGAACTGAGATAGGCGATTGACACTGTAAGCAATATCAGGCCGAGTGAATGCTAAGTATTGGAGACTACCGATGACCATCCTATACTCAGTAGGATTATCCAAAACAGAGCCAGAATGGAGTGTGAGTTTTGGAGAAGTTGCCATTGGTGTTGATACCGTGTTCACTTCAAGCATATTTATCTTTGTAAGTAGATCAATAATGTACTTTCGCTGCATCAAATGTAGTCTTCCCGCTGTCCTAGTAACTTCAATACCCAAAAAGTAATGTAAATCCTTTCGGGTCTTTAAGAGAGAAGCACGAAGCTAAAACCTGAATGCATGCGGAGACCAACTTGTTGCAGCTGCCCGTGATGATTATGTCGTCAACATATATCAGAATATAGATGACATTATTCCCGTCAAGATAAGTGAAGACTGAGGTATCAGCAACAGAGTTATGGTAGCCCATTTGACAGAGAAAAGTTTTAAGTTCTTGATACCAGGCTCGGGGAGCTTGTTTTAGACCGTAAAGAGCTTTCCGGAGACGGCAAACATGATGTGGTACGTCTGAATCTTCAAACCCAGGTGGCTGTGTAACATAGACCTCATCCGTAAGTGTTCCTTGGAGGAACGTGTTGTTGACGTTTAACTGTTTTATCGGCCAAGAATGTGTGACGGCATGATGGAGAACAAGACGAATGATAAGAGACTTGACTACTGGACTGAATGTCTCTCTGTAGTCTATCACGTACGCTTGAGTGAAACCACGAGCCGCCCATCTTGATTTCGGCATGTCAACTTCACCATTAGACAAATATTTTATAGTATAAATCCACCTCGGACCGATGACATGGTGAGTCGGTTTTCGTGAGACCAACACAAAGGTGCCATTCGCGATCTGAGCATTGTACTCATCACTCATAGAGCGTCACCATCTTTCATCTCGCATGGCCTGGGCCAGGGTTTTTGGGACAATCATGGGAGGCTGTTTGGTGATGGTTAGGGAAAATTTTTGAGTGGGTTTGGTAATATGGTTTTTGCTCCTGGTTTTCATAGGGTGGCGTTGATGATTGGTGGTGGTACTGGGGATGGTTCGGGTGTGGGACTGGTCGTATTTGTGGGGTTATATATTTGTGGTACTGAAGTAGGTGAGGTTTCTTGGGGTGGTGCGGGACTTGGGTTGTTACCTGCAGTGTTCAAAGATGCATTACTATTAAGTTATGTTGATGAAGTATTCATACCTGAGCCCATAACATTAGTGTTTTCTGCAGAAATAAAACTCGTTATCGTTGTATGTTGTAGGTGAGGATCCTGGCCCGGGGAGGCAGAGGATTGAACTGTTGCAAGTGGCATGCGGTTGATAGGAATGATGGTTGGAGGACAAAAGACTGGTGGGGTGAGGTCGGGTGGTGGTGTTGTGTCAGCAAAGTGTTGATGAAACAGGAAACTTGAATCGTCAAATGTAACATGGCGTGAGACATAGATACGTCCAGTCGGCTGATGAAGGCATATATAAGCACTCTGAGTAAGAGAGTAGCCAATAAAGACGCACCGTAATGATATCTTATCCAATTTATGCTTTGCGAACGGGCGTAGCCACGGATAACACGCACAGACAAACACATGTATCTTCAAGTAGTTTGGTGAGCGATGGAAAAGTTTTGCATAAGGCGACTGATGAGAAAGAACCGGCATTGGGAGATGGTTTATCAGATAGACGACAGTGGAAAATGCATAAGTCCAGTACTCGAGCGGTAGCGATGCTTGGTGCAGAAGCGTGAGGCCGGTCTCGACAACGTGCATGTGTTTCCGCTCGGCTATACCATTATGTTCTGGAGTATGTGGTGGGGAAGTGGAGTGAGAGATGTCATGAGCCGCCAGGAAAGATCAGAGAGCTACAAATTCTCCACCATTATCAGCGTACAAGTTGCGTATGCGGGAGGAAAAATGTGTCTCGACAACTGCCTTGAATTGGATGAAGACTTCTTTAACCTGAGATTTCTGTTTCAATGGATAGAACCAAGTATAACGAGTGAAGTGGTCAATAAAGACAAGGTAATATTTGTATTGGTCAATAGAAAGGACAGGAGATGTCCACACGTCAGTATAAATAAATTCGAGTGGATGGGTATAGGTGATTGTGTTTGTATGAAAGGGAAGCTTATGGCTTTTATTAATAAGGCAATGAGAAATTATTGTTTTTGGGTAGATGAAGCAACAAGGAAAAGAGAATTGCGAGACAATAAATTGAAAAACTAAAGTAGAAGGATGGCCTAGACGAGAATTCCAAGAAGAGTGATTTGTTTTTGGTGAGGTGGAGGCGAAACAAGTGATAGTGTTTTGGGGTGTAACAGGCCACTCGTACAGCTCATCCTTGGTTTTGCCTTGGAGTAATCGGACCCTCGTGCTGAGATCCTTCACCTGAAAATGGGCAGGAAAGAATTCGACAAAAACATTATTAGTATTGCAAAATCGAAACACAGAGATAAGGTTTTCTGGAGATTTGGGACATATAGTGTATCATTTAAATCAAAAGAACGAGAGGGTGTGGGTAAGGAAGCGGAACCAGTATGCGAGATGGAAAGACTCGAACCGTCTGCGATCATAACATCTTCGCCGCCAGTGTATGGGTGATGTAGCGAGAGATTGTTGAGGTCAGTGGTGAGGTGGTGGGTTGCGCCACTGTCAAGGATCCAGTTGTTTGGATTGTATGGCTGAGTGACCGCCGCATTCACTCTTGGTTGATAAGAGTTTGGAGGTTGCGTGAACGAACGAGTGTGCTGAGTAGAGGTCTGAATCTATGGGCAACGTCGGGCGTTGTGACCCTGTATTCCGCAGTACTGACATCGGCCTTGGTACCCACGTGATGGTTGTTCACCTCGTGAGGAGAACTGTTGTTGTTGTTGCCATGTTTGTTGAGTGAGGCGATGATTGTTGATGTTGCGGTTAGACCCCTAGTAATTGCTGCGAGTGTTGTTCACCCTGTTGTTGTTACCTCCACGATAGCTAGCTGTATTAGCTGTTACTGCAGGAGTTGTGGAGAGCACACCTTTGTTTTGAAATTTAACTTCATGATTCAGAAGCTTTTCATGAACTTCTGTGAGAGAGGGAGCTGAGTCATGGCCTTCAATCTGATCAACGACTTGTTTGTAGTCTTCCGGCAAGCCTTCAAGGACATACTCCAGTTGATCTTCGATATCAATCGGTTTTCCAAGTAATGCCAATTGATCAAAACGTGTGATGAATCCTTGAACATACACATCAATGGACATCAAACCTTTTTCCATGTTTTGAGTTGTTGTATGATTTGCTTGACATGAGCACGGCTGGGCTTCGTGTAGGTCTCCTTGAGAGTTTCCTTGATCTGGTTCGCAGTCGTTGCCGTCGAGAGAATTGGCTGGATAGTGACCGTAATAGCGCCAAGTAAGGCACTGTAGATTAGCTTGTCTTGTCTCTTCCACAGAGTGTAAGCAGGATTAGAAGTACTGACACCATCAACGGTGTTCGTGGGCGGGGGAACAACAATCGATCCGTCAAGATGGCCGACCAGATCGTAGCCGTCGAGAAGTGCGTGGACTTGGTGACTCCACATCAGAAAATTAGACGCAGTGAGCTTTGTGACATTCGTCATGTTGATGTGGAGAAGATTAACGGTATCTGACACCGTAATTGTTTCACTGGAAGACGCAGGAGAAGCGGCCATTGTTGGCGTGAAGAAGAAGTAGCATTGGAGAAAAAGAAGTTTTGTGTTTGGCGGCTAAAATTTTTTTTTTCCAGATCCCTAGGTATTAGCTCTGATACCATATAGAGGAAGTAGGCTGAATTGATTCATTAGGTAAACATAATTACAATACTTATAGTGATTAGGATTGCTAAGTTAGGTATTACACATTGACTAATCTACCCTTATATACATATCATCTACAGCCTTTTTCTCTTCCTCAATGCTAACCTTGAAGCTTCATAGCTTTTCTTGTATGATCTGAATTGGATTTCTAAGTTCTTAGCTTGTAATCTTTGTTTTGGTTTCTGGGGACTTGTTTTAGTTCGCCGGCTCTTGTCTCTAGGGGATGATCTTTCTACTAGCTTACTTTCTTGGGGTTTTCTGTTGCTTGCCGGCTGTAGTTTAGTCTTTGTGTAATATTTGCAATCTCATCAATGAAATCTTATCGAGGTCAAAAAAAAAAAAAAAAAGAAATATACTCTTATATTATTCAATTCTTACAATACTTTTTCAGGGGAGTAGTTAAAAAGGGAAGCACATTAGTTACAGTAAGTATATTACGAAAAGGGGAATTGTTTTTTATATACATGTTATTAGAAAGAAGAAGGATATAGAATCCATGCCCGGCCAGATTTGGCCGTAAAGTGCTTAAACCTACCATACAACATTACTATTATGAGTATAATTTTCCCAGTGGGACTCCACCGTCCCACAAAACCGTAACTCGCGTCTTTGCAGACACCATGGCTAGCGTCCAGCAGCCGTTTGCAGCTGTACCCGGTCGTGAACCCCACGTTTCCATATGCACTGCCATTACAATATTAAATTAGTATTAAGCATTGTTTTCATGGTAAGAATACTAACCCTGAATAACGAAGTATTGTTTTTCATGGTAATGATACCAAGGTTTCTTATTTAGACCTAACCTAAATTATATGTTCACCACACAAAAGAACTTAAAAATGTAGTGTGCTTTGTCTTTTACTCACGGATAGTCCAGAATAATCATTTCGAACTAAGGTTCATACTTCATATATAGCCATTTCTAACCGCATATATGGGAAAATGATGAGTGCATAATTGATATTTTTAAATGTAATAAAGATGATGAGTAACGAAGCATAAAAAAAAAAAAAATTAATGTAAGAACTCATGAAAGGAATCGAAAATACAATGGAACCCAAACTTGTACTACTATTGATGGGTATCTATTGTGGCTGGACAAAGAAAATTTCTCTCTTGATAAAGTAAAAATCTCACTAACTCTCATTTGGAGTGATTCACAAGAAGGAAAATAAATCCATTTTCATTTATTAAATTAACAGTTTGGCCTGTATATGCATGTATAGGTCACCCAGTTATTAAATTTAAAAGATTGTTCCATACGTAAAAATGAGTCTTACCTGATAACTTCGAGAGTGATGTTAAGGATGTTAAAGTTGAGTGGATCTCGTCGTAGTTTTTCTTCTTCGACGATGGAAACAAGAAAGATGCATATTACTAAAAAGGAAAGTTGTGACACGAAGAAGCCACTCCCTTTCCGTTTGTTTCCATTTCCGGAACCATCCTCTTCATCTTTTTTATTATTTTCTTCGGTCAACGGCGTAAACAATGTATACGGAGGAAGGAACCTTATCATTTAATTAGAAAAAAAACAAATCAATAATTTATGAATGTAATGAACTGGAGAAGAGGAGACTCCCCGCTACCTTAAAGGACATATTTAATTCAATTTACTGGACATATTCCGACGCACTCAATTAAAATATACTCCCCTTATATCTCTTTTATGATAGTATCCTTATAAAATCTTACAGATTTTGATGTCAATCAGGCTTGTCTGTTTCGAACCGGTTTGAGCTCATAAAATCACATATTTTAAGTATGTCTGGTCCAGGGTTTTTATCTTGAAATTAAAGTGGTTTAGATAATTAGATGCATGCTTCTCTATGTTTTGGAGGAAGACGTTTTCTATGTTATTTAAAAGGCGAAGTAAAAATAATGTAAACTTTGATGCGTATTAATTATATTTAGAATATCACACATCACTGGAGTTACTCATGATAATGTCGGTTCTAATTATTTTATAGTTGAAAAATTGTTTAAATTATCAATAGAGAAAATATATTATTTTTTTTTTTGAAAAAAGGGCCAATAGAGAAAATATTCTCAAGAGAAATATTTGTTATAGACAAGCTCTTTGAAAAGTTTGTGACCCTCTCCCTACATGCATAGATGCGTAAGTCAACTTCAACATGTGTTACAAACTTACAATATGTCGACATCAGTGTACGTTACAAACGGACTACGCCGGGAATATATCAAAGATCGAATTGAACATTTTTCCAGACGAATTATATTCTTCTCTCTCTCTCCCCATAAATAAACAAGAGAGAATAAAAGAATTCAAGTGACTAATTAGATATAGTTTCATAATTTGTGTTAGTGGCGTTCGTTACGTCATAAATCTATGTTCCCGTAATAAATATTGTTAATATAAAAAGAAAAAGAAATATGGAGAACTCACATCATTGTAATGAAGAATATCAAGATAGCTGGGGAAAGTGTAGAGATGTCTACAATAGTTTCTCCGGTATGTCTCGAATTCACCACTTGAAACAACGATCCAACCAACTTCTCGTACCAACTCATTCCTTCAAGAGACTCTGAACTCCACTCAAAAGTGCAAAAGAGAAGAAATTGCAACAAAATAAACCCTAACACCGTCAATCCAAGAAGAATACAAACACGAATGGAGAGTAAATGATAGTATCCCATCTTCTTGTGGTTCTTGAGAATATAACCAAACTCGTCGCGCTTTGTGATCTTACTAAGACCCCATATGGTTAGCACCAAGAAGCAAGGGAACAAAGTGTTTCCCATCAGACCTTGGGGGATAAGGAGCCAAAGAAGGCCTGAGTTCTTGCGAAAGATGATCATGTTCTCATTCATTGGGACAAACCCACCGTTTGCAAATGTGGAGACAGTCAAAAACACCGAGAAAGTGAGACGTGAGAGTTCCTTGGAACTAAGAACATCTCTCGCCGTTTTAACAAAGCTTACGTACACAAGAACCAACAAGGAGCCGGCTAGGTGTGTAACGAGATGGTAACCAAGAACCACTGAGTACAAGCACTTAGATGCCCTCTCAGTCATCTGGCTAGAACCCTCCCGATGATCAATAACATTCTCGAGGTCAATATCGGATTCTTCTATCCGACGGTCCAAGTCGAAAGAGTCCGTAAGGTGTTTAACCTTGTTATGAGGGTAGACGAATTTTGTGTAATGGGAGAAGTAGAGATTGAGGAAGGAAGTAAAGACCTCTCCACCGAGGAACATGAGGATAGTGAGGAAGATAAGTTGGGTGTTGGAGAAGACTTCCATGTCGATGGTGGACATGGAAGAGATGGTGAGGGCGGAGATAGAAGTGAAGAAAAGGTCCAAGTCATGAGGACGTGATGTGGTTCTTGGTTTCGAGATCTTCAGTGCCAAGAACCCTAAAATGGAGAAGGTCAAGAAATAGATGAAGTAGAGGCAGAGGGGGGACAGAGGCTTAGCAAACACCTGTGAACGGATTTTAGCTAATCTTGCCCCAACTCTCTTCATTTTAGTTTTTTATTTTGGGTTTGTGTAAGCATTATTCTCGGCCCTAGTGTTAATTTATAGTACACGCACATGAACATGCTCAGCTATACATATGATGACAGTGTCTAACAACATTACAGTATTGTGTAGGCAGAAGGATTCAGCGGAAAATTGAGATATCATGTTGAGTCATGCCATTACAATATTTATTTATTTTTTTTTGTAAATTTACGCCATTGCAATAATTTCTTACCCATATAGAGTATAGAGTTTACTCTATAAAGTAATGTTCAATAAATTAATAAATACTAAAAAGGAAATATGTCAGATTATAAGTATACTAGTATGAACATTGATAAAAACTATAAAAATTAGATTTGTAAACATGATGACAAAAAACTTAAAATACATTTAAGAAATTCATTTGGATAATTCTTTTTAATTTATTTCAGAAAAATAATTTTTAAAAAGAAAAATAACCAAAATAAATTTTTATTTAAGGGTAAATATGCACTTAGAGTATCATTAACTCTTAGCTCACAACTAAAGGTTCTTAGAATTTTTTTAAAACTTTTTTTTTAGTTTTTTTTCTGTAAAAAAAAAAAAAAAAAAAAAGAACCAATCGCGGTCCGCCGTGTGTCGGTGAGACCCGCAAATAGTCTAAAAACCTTGTAAGAGTTGGCTCTTACACAAAATATATAAGAGGTAGTTCTTAAGATAATGGTGAAATCCGCGTATTTAAATTTGTTTTTTTTTAGAACCACGGCTAAGAGCCATGGTTAATGGTGCTCTTATATCCTAAGGTTAGCTAATCTAGATTTAGAGTTAAGGGGTAGAATTTTAGGTTTAGGTCAGTTTAAAAAAAAATATTACAAATTTCAAAATAAAAAAGATTATTTAGTCATTTTATTTGTGACAAAAACAAAATGAGTATTTGAGATAATTGTCCAATAAATATTGTAATATATATAGTCATGATAATCTATATAATAATGATTCATTTTTGAAGCTCCTAAGACTATCCACATCAGCAGCCGAGTGGGCCCTACGTATTTAAAGTTTAAAAGTTTATAGTGTTTTTAAAATGATTATTAACAATGAATACACTTTAGCAAAGTGGTATAAGGCATCTAATTAGTCTTCAAGTGTGTGGGTTCAAACCACGCAGCTGTTAGTTTTTTCGTTTGGATTATTAACATATGGGCTTTTTAGTTTTAATGTTTTCATGTTTTTTTTCCTCTGGACTTATTGTTTAAAGCCCAAAATAGTGGAAAAATCCTAAAGTTTGACGAACTCAAACCCAAAAACAATTAAAAATGGATCAAAAAACGAACATCCAAAAAAAAGAAAAAAAACGAGTCTCACGCGGCACTATCATGTCCTAATATATATTTTTACTGTTAGAAAATATTTTCTAATATATATTTTCAAAATTATGTATGTGAAATAAAATAAAATAGTTTTGTTATATATAAAATAACTATGTAAATTCTCTTCAATTTTTAATAGTTACTATAATTTCATTTTTATCAGACTCCGGCGGATGGATTTCCACAGTCGATGACGCCGTAAAGAAAAATATCACATTATTCATGAACAAAATCCAAACTTATAAAAAAACATATTCAAACCTATCTATTGAAACCCAAACAACAAATATTAGCTTAAATTAAAGTTATTAATAGTTACTATAATTTCATTTTTATCAGACTCCGGCGGATGGATTTCCACAGTCGATGACGCCGTAAAGAAAAATCTCACATTATTCATGAACAAAATCCAAAATTACAAAAAAACATATCCAAACTTATCTATTGAAACCCAAACAACAAATATTAGCTTAAATTAAAGTTATTTTCAAATTGATAAATCGTTTAGTACAAATATAAATACTATAAATAAATATTTATATCAAGTTTTGACATCCAATATAAAAACTATTTCCAACATAAAAAAAAAACAATATAGACATCTATTTTTATACACTAAAAACTATATTATAATTTAGTTATTCCTATAACTTATTTCGCATATAAATAACATTTAACACATTATATATATAATATTTTCACTTTGCACTCTTGCTACATTATTTCCATTTCATCATTATTTGGTATTATTAGAATAACACACTAAAGCAACAATCGAAAAAAACACAGATCTCGGCCCCGCGCTTGCGCGGGGGTTATGCAGCTAGTATTATAAATGGATAACTATGTAAATTTATGCATATATATGATATCATACACTTTTATCATTCTAGTGTTGTTTGCGCCTTATTAAACGCAATACTTTTAATGTATAACATCTTTAAAATGTATCATAATAATGTATTTTTAGTTTTAGGTTCTACATTTAATGATTGTTGCCATTATTTCTTACAATTTTAGAATTATGAGCATGCGTCAATTCACATGCATAGTTAACTAAATATCCTTAAAAAAAAGGGTCTAGAACATCATGGTCTAATGGTAAGAACAGGTTCCTTCATGCATCCAGGTTGCGAATTTATACTATGTAGGAGTAAACTACATCACCAGGTTGCGAACTCGTACTCTGTGGGAGTAAACTACATCATGATGTCTCTAGACATCCACATGGATATAGATTCTTGTTTTCGGTCCACTAAACAAACTTGGTGCTTGAGCTTACCTATGGATCACGCGCACTCAGAAAATTAGTCTGGATCTATTGAGGTATGAGACTACTCTTGAGTTATCAAAAAAAATGCATAATAATTTTTATTTTTGTATGCCATCTTAACTAATATATTTATTTAATTTCTTCAACATTACATAATTAAAAAGAATACTATGGATAAATATAAATTTATCCATAGTTATCCCCTTCTTATTATTTGAGGAGAACTTTTGCAAATAAACCTTTACTTCATGTGTTTATTACATGCATGCCATTTCCTACGTGTCAACTCCACAAGCCTTCTCACACCTTTTAGCTAAAAGACCTTAGTTAACTAGAGTAATTACACAATATGCCATTGATATAAATATACATATATGATATATGATGATATATGATATAACAATAAAGACATGCATATAGAAGGCGGACTACATGTTTATCTACTCGGCTATAATGATTTTGTTACATGTACGATATATTTTATGTATTTTATGTATATCATTCTCCATGTAAATATTGTAAATGTAAAACATGCATATAGAATGATTTTGGTACATGTTATTGTACGATTTAAATAAAAATAGGAAAAAATATATTTCGTTACATAAGTATAAATAAAAATGAATTGAAAAAAATGCGACCTTATTTCATAATTCCTTATTGTCTTTTTTTTTTTTAACAACATTTTTTTTTTTTAACAACAAATAATTCCTTATTGTCTATTGGGCATATATTTAAATTTTAAATTTAATATTTTATATTTTATAAAATCGAACTTTATATTTTATATTTCGACAATATAAGAGAGTCTCATCAGAAAATTTAATATTTTATATTTTATAAAATCGAACTTTATATTTTATATTTTATATGCATTTGTAGTATTAGTACAAAATATTATTATCTTCAACTTCAAAATAAAATTAATGACCGAATCTGCATGCGTATTTCAGTTTCCCTTATATGCGCTAGCAATTGATGTTATTGTATTCGAAAATTGAATGAATATATTTCATACATCGTCGAATGTCAACTAAAATTAATGACCGAATCTGCATACATATTTCTAATATTGAATGAATATATTTCAGTCACGTAGTTTTAGCAACTAAATCTCGGAATGTTTTTATTAGGTAAACGGTTTAATGGTTTCTTTCCATTTTAATGTCAATCAGCTATATATAATATTCTGAATTAAATGAGATAGCCATAAATTGGAATTTTCTTGATAGACAAGCGCAAATCGCAAATGTAAATGCTATTTAAACATTTTTTTCTATTATGTCATTTATATGTTTTTTCTTCTATAAGAAACCAACACAATATATTGAATACCAATATCAATTAGTTAGATCTTTATTCCTTTTCCAAACCAGTATACCTTATATTTATTGTAATTTATATTTATAAATAGATATAGTAAGAAAAATCAACCACCGATTTTTATCATTACTACTTTATTTAACTAATATTCATAAAGCATATCATATTATTTAGTGCATGCGATGACTATATGTCGTATATAAAGATAAAAAGGATTGTTCCTTATATATGATCAACTTTGGAAATTGCTGTTAAATAGATTTTTTATCATATAATTGTTTTGTAAAATATGTTAGGAACACTAAGTGTATTTTTCAGAATTCCAATAATGTCGAATATGTCTTGCTTGGCTGAGTTTATTACATCTCAACCAAATTCTGCCATCAATGTTAAGATACTCACGAAGTAGACTACTTCGGCAATTAACTTATTTAATACCAAAGTTAAAAAAAATAAGTAAAGTACAATATTAATGATTCTTGCTCTTACCTTCTTCTTGCTGCGGGAAATCTATATTTGTTTGAGAGATCCCATAGTGATTAGAAACGGCATGTTGCATTGGATAATATATTAGCATTTATAACTGATCACCTTAGTTAAGATTATATTAATTATGAAGTATTTTAAGGAAGTCAATATATGATNAGAGATCCCATAGTGATTAGAAACGGCATGTTGCATTGGATAATATATTAGCATTTATAACTGATCACCTTAGTTAAGATTATATTAATTATGAAGTATTTTAAGGAAGTCAATATATGATTGGTAGACAATTAACAGAAAACTATTAATACCATTCGATTATATATTCGAATTGCAGTAAATGATTATATAATAAATGCCGTATGATTGCAGAATCTATAAACTTAAAGATATATCAGATTTATATAGGAAGTCAAACCGTAATTTAGGAAATGTTATTTAAATATCGACATCGATGATAACACACATAAATCTAATATTTATTGCATATCGTGACACTTTTGTTATATTTACCATCGGAGAAGCTAAAGAATTAACACATTCTCGAGATCAGATTGAGCATAAACATC